CCTGGCGCCCCCCCTTGCTGTTGCCGCGTCGAATGAAGGTCGAAGCATGTCGTCGGCCGTCTGGATCCCGCCGCCGAGGCGCTGCTCGGCGGCGGCGTCACTGAGGCGCGTCTCGCGCACGAGGTCCCAGATCTGGGTCTTGAGCTTGTCGTCCTGGCGCAGCTGGGCAGCCTCCTCCTCGGCGACAATCTCGTCTTCGGGGAAATGGTGGCGCAGGGCGGCGATGATGAGGGCCTGGGCGCCAAAGTCGCCAATGGTGACGGGGGACTTGTCATTCTTGTCGACGGTGCCCTTGGCTTTTTCGTGGAAGACGCGCTTCGTGAGGATGGCAGCGCGCTGGACGGCGAGCTGGGCGATCTCGAGTTCTTTCGCGTAGGACGCCATGGTGGGCGGCTTCCCTCCTGGTTTGGTGGTGGTGGTGGTGAGGGGTCGGAGGGGCACGAGGGGCAGGTGGTTGGCGATGAGGGAGAGCCGCGGCAGAGCTCGAAAAGCAAAGGCAGCCAGGATGACAGTGAGGAAGGCGAAGAGAAGAAAAGAGAAGGTCACGAAGGGGCTTTTGTGGGTGGCTTGCCTGCGCATAAGTGCCTCTTCTCGAATGCTGGCTGAGCTTGGGTTGAGCGAACTCTGGCTGCTGGTCTGCCACCGGCCGGCCGGTGTCGGGCAGATGTCGTCAGTTGTGGGTGAGTCAGCTCGCTGCACTTTCGTCGGGCTCACGTCACGTCAGTCAGTCGCCTCCCTCGACGTATCTCTGCTCAGTGATGCTCGGGTGAAAATCACCTTCCTACCCCGCGGCCAACACGGCCCGGTCATTACTCGAAACGCAATAAAGGTCTGTATTGTGCGTTTTGATTTCCCCCACCAGGCCCACACCAATTGACGTCGTGTCGATTTGCCCTGCCCATGCAACGCCTGGCACGAGCCTCTGAGGGTGTCTGCTGCTGCATCACGGCAAACGTGACTTTTGCCTGTCCGCCAGATTGCAGATTGCCTCGACAGAGTCAATGATATCGACGAGACTGCAGACCTTCGCATCGTCTAGAACAGCGAATGGTGGCCGGAACGTAGCATCTCGCTGTAGGCTTTCCTTTGGTGCAATTGCAGGCGACGACGAAGCTTGGTTCAACATGGAACAGTCCTTGTCTTCTTGACGACCCCGTTCAACTCCCGTGTAGAAGCCGTGAGAAGGACGCTCTAGGGCCGCCATTGGCAGAGAACGCCAGGCGGTTGAATAAGGGTGCCTATACGCGCCTGTCTAAGGCTGTCGCAAAGCCGTCAAAGGCGTTGCGAGCTCATGGGCGAAGATAAGGAATATCAGAGGGGCTTTCCTGCTATTGCTGGCCTACTCAGAATGCTATGAGGACCAACCCTCACCTTCTGTCCATAGCACTATCGTGCACCCACTACAGAAGGATAGACCTTACCGGCTTCCGCCCTTCTCGAGCCCTTCTCGAGCCCTCCGTCACCCCTCGCGCTCTCTGATGCGGCGCAGCGCTATACTTGAAGCTGCCGAGGGTTTTGATGTCGATGCTACAAAGATACGAACATGCCGACCTCGTGCAGGAGTATGGTCAGTAGTTTCCATCTCGCAACGCGAAGGTTAAAAATGCAGCCTTTCCCGACAACGGTCCTCGATATCTGACAACGTTACTTCCGGGGCCGTAGCGTCGCACGTACGCCCTTGCTATCCAGCTTAGCCACAGCCACGAAGAAATCGTGCTGGCATGTGACGTCGTCCAGGCTCGTCTCGTACAGTTCCCAGTCGAAGCGCGAGATGATTGTCGACGCTGTGAGGAACATTTCCGCGTGGGCGAGGCTGTAAGAGATGCTGTGAATATCTTGTTGTGTAAATGGCAGAGGCCTGACACTCACTTCATTCCCGGACACTGCCGCGCGCCCTTGCCAAACGGCACGAAATACCTGTTAAGCTTGCGCCCTGTTGTGCTGGCTTCTAGCCACCGCTCGGGGCGGTACGTATGAGGTTCGGGGAAGACGTCTGGATCGGTGAGGACATCGTGGGGCGTCATGGAGATGGGTGTCTGCGCTGCTTAGTGGAAGTTCTCGATCGGGAAAGGCACAGCAGCGTACCCCGGCCGGGATGATCCAGTCCTTGTACCGGAGCTCCTCGTGGCAAAGTCTCGGAAGGCGCGTCGTCACACCGTACGATAGGCGGATGGCCTCTTTGATGGCGGCGCTCTGTTGTCGTCAGCCGTGTGGCTATGTTATGACCAGGCAGCAACAAGTCTCACAAGATACGGCAGCCGCTGCAGCTCGATCCACGAGGGAACCGGCCCTCCCTTCCCGACGACGCCGTCCA